GTCCCGCATCGGGCTCCCTGCCCCTTGGGGAGCCTGCTTCTCCCTCTGCCTCTCTCTCTCTGTCTCTCATGAACAAATAAATAAAATTTAAAAAAAAAAAGATTATATATATATATATTTCAAAAAAAAAAAAGAACTTCTTTTGGAAAAAAAAAAAAAAGGTTATATATATATATATTCTAAAAAAAAAAAAATATTAATCAGATCTAAGACCTAAGGGATAATTGGCACAAAGCAGTTCATTGAAAAATAATTAATTCCTTGGCAATGAACTCTTTTCAATGGCATGGAAGGCCTTACCCTGTTCCCACCCAGGCGCACATGTATGAACACTGTAGCAAGCCACGTTCCCCTCTGGTCGCTACAGAGGCCACGCTGGCCTTCTTGGACCTCCTTAAACCTCACACACTTATTCTTCCACCTCAGGGTCTTTGCACATGCTGTTTCCTCTGCCTAGAAGGCTCCTTTCCCACTTTTCTGAAATGGTCACTGCTCCATAATCATTTGGGTCTGGCTCAGAGGTCGCCTCTTTTGACCATTTCATCTAAAAGAGCCCTCACCATCACTCTCGGTCCCCTTACCCTAACTATATATATTATATGGCACATATCCCTGTCTCAGATAGCTTTATTTATAGTATTAGATGTTTGAAGTTTCTCTTTGACTAGAAAGGAGGCTTCAAACAAGGACCCTCAGTCGTTTTCTGCACTGTGGCTCCAGCACCTAGAATAATGCCAGCCTTTTGTAAATGCCCAGTAAATGTTTATTGAATACGTGTTTGTATTCATTGAATGTACTCTAATTGCATAATGTCATATGTGAATTCCAAAGACGTAATTAAGGTAGTTCGCCTTCATATTAAGAGAGACATTTATATTGCTTTCAAATGAGACAGGTCAGGATTCCAGCTAGAGGGGCGCCTGGGTGGCTCAGTCCATTGAGCGTCTGCCTTCAGCTCAGGTCATGATCCCAGGTATCCAACCCTACGTTGGGCTCCTTGCTTAGGGGGAAGCCTGTCTCCCTCTCCCTCTGCCTACTGCTCATGTGTGCTCTCTCTCTCTCTCGCTTGCTCTCTCTCTCTCAAATAATAAAATCTTTTTTTTTTTTAAGATTTTATTTATTTATTTGACAGACACAGCGAGAGAGGGAACACATGCCCTACATACCTGGTGTCCTCAGAAGCTGAGCAGAATTTCAGCTCTTGTTGCTGTTTCTTTTCCACGGCTAGGTTTCGTTCACATTTTCTGTTTTCTAAGGCTACTAATAGGCATTAGTGGTTTTTCAGACCTTGTGGTGACATCTTGTGAATAAGTCTTATAAAGAAGTAAGTAAGATTAGGGGCACCTGGGTGGCTCAGTCGTTAAACGTCTGCCTTCGGCTCAGGTCATGATCCCAGGACCCTGGGATTGAGCCCCACATCGGGCTCTCTGCTCTGTGGGAAGCCTGCTTCTCCCTCTCCCACTCCCCCTGCTTGTGTTCCCTCTCTCGCAGTCTCTCTCTCTGTCAAATAAATAAATAAAATCTTAAAAAAAAAAAAAAAGATTAAAGACACACCATGTTGATGAATTGCAAGATTCAGCACAGTAAAAAAAAAAAAAAACAAATTGATCTGTAAACAATTCCAGTCAAAATCCCAGCAAGATTTTCTTGTAGATACAGACAAGCTAATTTTAAAATTTATAGAGAAAGCAAAGGAACTAGGATGACTGAAATAATTTTGAAAAAGAATGAAGTTAGAAGCAACCCACTACCCAATTGTATAATATAGATTATAAATAAAATATAGGTTTGATAATAGAGATTTTAAGTATAGATTTATAAAGCTATGGTAATCAAGAGCATGGAATTGGTGGAGGGATGGACACATGGATCCATGGAACAGAGTGGAGGACAGAGAGAGACCCACACAAGGATGGCCAGTTAATTTTTTTGAAAGAGGTGCAGAGATAATTTAATGGAGAAAGGGCAGTCTTTTCAACAAAAGTTTTTTTAACAATTGGATATCCATATGTGAAACAAAAAAAAATTAGACCTAAACTTCCTGTCTAGTACAGAGATTAACCCCAAATGGATCACAGGTCTAAATGTGAAACTATCAGAAGAAAAACTTAGGTCTCTGTGGCTGGGGCCAGGCAGATAGTTATTAGAACACGAAAGCATGCACCGTGAGAGAAAAAGCTGATAAAATGGATTTCATCAAAACTAAAAACTCTTGGCCTGCAAAAGATACCAATAAGCAAATAAAATAACAAGCTACAGGGGCACCTGGGTGGCTCAGTCGGTTAAGCTCTGCCTCTTGGTTTCAGCTCAGGTCATGATCTCATGGGTTGTGGGATAGAGCCCTGAGTCGGGCTCCCCACTCAGTGGGGAGTCTGCTTGAAAGATTCTCTCCCTCTGCCCCTCCCCTGCTCGTTCTCTCTCTCAGAGTAAATAAATCTTGCAAAAAAAAAAAAAAGAAACAACAAGCTACAGACTGGGAAAAAATATTTGCAAATCACATGTCCAACAAAGGACTTTATCCAAAAAACAAAGAGTTCTCAGAACTCGACAGGTGAAAAAACAACCCACTTAAAAAATGGACATAAGAAAAAAAAGTGGGCATAAGACTTAAAACAGACACTTCACCAAAGATGTGGCGATGGCAAAGAAGCACATGAAAAGATGCTTAACACCATTATTAGCCACTAGGGAAACGCAGATCAAAGCCTTGATGAGCTAGCACTACCCACTTCCTAGAATGTCTCCATTTAACAAAGGAGACCCTACAGTGGTGAGGATGCGGAGCCTCTGGAGCTCTCCTTGTGCATTTATTGGCGGGAGCGCAAATGGTACACCACTTTGGGAAACAGTTGGCAGTTTCTTACAAAATTAGCCATCTCATCCCTCCTCTAGGGATGTGAAAGGTCATGTTCACACAAAAACCTGCCCATGACTGTTCATACCGGCCCTCCATAATTGCCCCAAACTGGAAACAGCCCAGATGCCCTTGAATGGATGAGCGGATGGGCTTCTGCATCCATCTGATGGAAAACTCTGTGATGAAGGGACAAACTTGCTGCCACAGCAACTTGGGGCGGGTATCTCAGGCATGGTGCTGAGGGAGGGGAGCCCGTCTCAAAAGGTTATGCCCTTCGAGACCTGGAGCGGAGCGGTGGGTGCCAGGGGCTGGGGAGGGGGAGTTAGTGTTCGATGGGGACAGAGTTTCAGTTTTACAAGATGGAAAGAGCCATGGGGATGGATGACGGGGCCGGCTGCACAACACTGAATATTTAGTACCCCTGAACTATACCCTTAAAAACGGTTAAGATGGTGAGTTTTGCTAAATGTGTTTTATCACAAAAAGAAAAAAAAGTCATGTACTGCTTAATTTCACCGAAGATTATTTTTTTAAAGATGTTGTTTATTTATTTGACAGAGACAACGAGAGAGGGAACACAAGCAGGGGAGTGGGAGAGGGAGAAGCAGGGCTCCCGCCGAGCAGGGAGCTCGATTCGGGGCTCGATCCCAGGACCCTGGGATCATGACCTGAGCCGAAGGCAGATGTTAAGAATTGAGCCACCCAGGTGCCCCTCACCAAAGATGTTACTGAAAAGACAACGTAGTGGCCTAGCACAGGGCTAGGGGAGGGTGTGGCTACAAAGGGGTGACACAAGAGTCACAAGCTAACCACAGGTCATTTACATACCTGATTGCAAAAGCCCATCGAAGTGGTTTTCACGGCCTTCTTTGAAGGCTCGGACTGCTACCTTGCGAGCAATCGCACACAGTAGCCATGCCTGTTTAATATTTCAGTACAGCGTCCGATGCAAACTTTGTCCTCCTTGCAGTTGACTTTTTATTCTCCCAGTTTCGGTTTCCTGTAGTTCAGCCCGGTGGTCCTGGGAATGCCCCTGTGAACTGGGCTGACACTCGGATAGGGACGGCTCTGGGGAGGCTCTCAGAAGCAGTGGATTGCACCTGGGCCCTGTGTCAGAGTTGTTTTCTGGGGCTTAAAAAATGCAGATGCTCAGAATGAACTGCGGGGAGATTTAGGCAGTTCAGAATCTGTGTTTGGGCCAGGTCTGGACACAGGTGTGTGTGCGCCTGCGTGTGTGTGTAAGGTTCTAAGCTCCATGGTGATGATACTGAGCAGTCTGGTTTGAGATCCATGGGGTAGAAGGGCAGTCAGACACAGGCAGGCTGGAGTGAGGGAGGCGGGTGTAGTAGGAGTGCATGGGAGGGCTATCAGTCAAGCCCTGGCTGGGGGTGGGGTGGTCTTCCTGAAGGAAGACTTCCTGGAGGTGGTGACTGCTGAGCCAGAGTCCCGAAGGCATGGAGAATTGCTAGACAAGGATAAGGAGTCTGTTCATGCAGAGGGAAAAGAGTGGGGTTCTGGGGCCTTGTACTGGTGGAGAAGGATGTGGCACGGAGCAGATGGAAGAGGTCACCGGAGCAGAGCAGGGAGCAGGGGCAGAGGCCCCAGTGGCATGGAGCATGACTGAGGCTTGCTCGCAAAGACCGTTTTCTCCAGTGCCATCCGGGCCGCCTCAGTCAGTCACCTGGAGGATCTGCTGTTGCTGGTATCCTGGGCCCCACCAGGATCGGCCACTCTGGGGGCTGGGCCTGGAGACCTCCAGTTATAACCAGTGCCCGAGGGACTGGCGTCAGAGCCACAGCAGGGAGAGGTGGGGAGCTACCAAAGAGCTTTCTACCAAGAGTTTGCTGCACCCGTGTGTCTCACTCATGTTTTGTAACCCAGCTCATGCTTGGAAACCACCGCTGGGCCTTGAATTTGGGAGCTCTAGGCTTTTCTAGGTTTCCTGGAGAAAAACATTGTGGACTACCCATAAAAACATGCAGGCCCTTCTGTAGGTGTTTGTTCGTACAAGCATTGTTTTCCAGGAGGAAGTGGAACCTTGTCCACAGGGCTCTGGGGCTACTAGTTTTTGTTGGGGAAGAAGGTGAGGGCTCTGTCCTGGGGGAGAAGGTGACATTTCTCGGTCTCCTGGTGTCCTTCTCAGGAACAGCAACCAAGCTGGACAGATGACCTGCCGCTCTGCCACCTCTCTGGCGTTGGTTCGGCCTCCAACCGCAGCTACTCTGCTGATGGCAAGGGCACTGAAAGCCACCCACCGGAGGACAGCTGGCTCAAGTTCAGGTGAGTGTGCCGGCAGTGTCCCCCTGGGCATCGGAAGCAGGTTTGTGGGCAAGAAAAAGCCACAATTTTGCACCTCTCTCAAATGGGGCTCGCCACTGAGATGTGGGAGGTGGCACCTGCTGCTGTCCCTTGCACAGCTGGACCTCACACCCAGCCAGGGCCTGCTACCGTGGGGGCGGGAAGTGTCCCAGAAGGCCATGCCCGCGGGGAAGGAAGGTCAATGTGGGGAGACTCAGGTGGGCAGCTGAAGCCACCGCTGCTGTGTCTTTGGCCTCCCCCAATCCTGGCCCTCCTCCCCTCCACTTGGGAACTGGTGTCACTCTTCTGTAAGCCCCCAGTCTCAAGCTGCTCCCCCTCTCTCTGGCAGGAGTGAGAACAACTGCTTCCTGTACGGGGTCTTCAACGGCTATGATGGCAACCGAGTGACCAGCTTCGTGGCCCAGCGGCTATCTGCTGAGCTCCTGCTAGGCCAGCTCAGCACCGAGCACACTGAGGCAGACGTGCGGCGCGTGCTGCTGCAGGTAGTGATGCTCGGGCTGGCTGACCGGGTCCCCCGGGAGCTCAGCCCGGCAACTGCAAAGTGCTGGGTTAGCCAGGCTTGGTCTGAAGGGGCTGCCGGCTCCTTCTCCTGCAGAGGAACCTGCTCTGGGAGCCTTTCCTGGTGGCAGGGTGTGAGGAGCGTAATGGCCGTGGGGCCTAGAATTTAAAGTGGTAAGGGCCCCGGGCAGCGAGGAAGTTTAGGAGCTATTTACTGCCATGTAACTTAAAGAGCAAGGATCTTATTTTTATTTTACTTTATTTTATTTATTTAAAGATTTTATTTTATTTATTTTTAAACATTTTACTTATTTATTTGAGAGAGAGAGCACAGAGGGAGAGGGTGAAACAGACTCCCTGCTGAGCGGAGAGTCCAGTGCGGGACTCGATCCCAGGACCCTGAGATCATGACCTGAGCCAAAGGCAGATATTTAACTGAGTGAGCCACCCAGGCGCCTCAAAAGATTTTATTTTATTTATTTTTATTTTTTAATTTTTTTTAAAGATTTTATTTATTTATTTGAGAGAGCGAGAAAGAGCACATGAGAGGGGGGAGGGTCAGAAGGAGAAGCAGACTCCCCGCTGAGCAGGGAGCCCGATGCGGGACCCGATCCCGGGACTCCAGGATCATGACCCGAGCCGAAGGCAGTCGCTTAACCAACTGAGCCACCCAGGCGCCCTATTTTATTTTTTTCAAAGATTTTAGTTATTTATTTGACAGAGAGAGACAGCAAGAGAGGGAACACAAGCAAGGGGAGTGGGAGAAGGAAAAGCAGGCTTCTTGCTGAGCAGGGAACCCGATGCGGGGCTCGATCCCAGGACCCTGGGATCATGACCCGAGCCGAAGGCAGACACCCAACAACTGAGCCACCCAGGCGCCCCGATTTTATTTTTTTTAAAGTAATCTCTACACCCAGTGTGGGGCGTGAGGCTCAAACTTACAACCCCATGATCAAGAGTCTCATGCTCTTCTGACTGAGCCAGCTAGGCATCCTAAGGAGCAAAGATTTTAAAAGCCCATTGTGGCATTCAGCAATGCCAGAGGCCTGTGATCGAGATGAAAGTTCCATGGAGGCCCTGTTGGAGAGCCCAGTGCTATGTTATATGGACAGTAACATGAGATCCTGGATCTGAGGATCTGAGTCATGGTGTCAGGAGGCCTTGCTGGGGGTAGGTTGCACTTAGAAAGACTGCTGCCCCACAGAGGTGTTCCAGGTGGGTGTAGCCAGCCATAAGCCAGTACAGTACCACACTTGTAACAGTGCAGCGGGTCGTGCCCACCAATAGAGGAAGTGGCCCAGTGAATTCAACTGGCCAGCAGCTAAGAGGTTTGTCCCCTCACAGGCCCAAAGAATGGCAGTTTCCGGCCTTTGGTTTGGTAGCACAATTTGCAATTCAAAACAGTGCATTTTGGGAGCACTGTGGGGGCACAGTGCCCCTGCTGGAGCTCAGGCCCTTGTGGTCACAGCTCCCCCAAGACCGGAAGGGATAGGGGACAAGAGGAGGACCATTAGGCCAGGGAAGAAGGAGTATGGAACAGTGGAGTGGAGGGTTGGAGAGCTGGTGGAGTTGTCCTCGGAGTGGAGGGTTGTGCTTGAGAGTCCCAGATGGGTGGTGACTGGGATTCAGGCAAGGGAATCTACCTGGAGGTTAGAGACAGCCTCTGGTGTGCTAGTGTTTGCATATGCTCGAGTGTGGGTGACCTTCATCACCCTGGTGCCCTCCAAACTGGAACAGCCCAGATGGGTCAGCCTTGCATGTGAAAGTCACCCCACTGCCATTGGCCTGACCAAACCACCAGCCTGTGAGCAGCTGCCTGTGGGAGTCGGTAAAAATATGGACAAGGGGCTTGTCATGGGCAGCCGTGCACGGTGCAGCCATTTGTCCTGAGGAGGCCGAGCTGACCCCGCCTTGCCACAGTCGGTGGGGGCGCTGCCATCCATGAGGCGCTCGGACCCCCTTCGCTGTCCCAGCTCGCCGGGGCCTCAGGCAGTGGTGGCTCTGTCACCGCTTCCCCAAGGTCCGTGGGCAGGGGGCTGAGCGCGGAAGCCACATCTTCCGGCAGTTGGGAAAGACCTGCCCTGCTGAATTTAGCCCGTTCCCAAAGGGACCCTTTCCGCTGTGGCAAATTGGCATTTGTAGTGGTGTCGAGCCACTGCCGGGAGCCGTCCCTGATCTATGATATCATGAGGAAGGTGAGTAGGGCAGCTCTAGTCCGTGAGGGCCTCAGTTGCTAACAAAGCCCATGAAGGAGCCAGAATCCGAGGTTCTGAGGGCGTGCAGCCGTCTGGGCCGGAAGCCCACAGTTAGTCAGGAGGGGCCGTGGTTAGTCTGTCGTCCCCAGGACGCCTAGGCCACCTGGAAGAAGGAGCCAAGGGAACGAGGGAGCGGGCTTGATGAGTTGACCTTTGAGTCAGTGGGCTTTTTTTTTTTTTTCAGATTTTATTTCTTTATTTGACCGAGAGAGCGAGCGAGAGAGAGAGAGCGAGCGCAGGGGGAGCGGCAGAGGGAGAGGGAGAAGCAGCCTCCCACTGAGCAGGGAGCCCGACGTGGGGCTCGGTCCCAGGACCCCGTGATCATGACCTGAGCCAAAGGCAGACGCTTAACTGACTGAGCCACCCAGGTGCCCCGAGCCAGCGGGCTTTCAAGCTTGAGCTCGCTGTGGAGCTTCTCCTTGCTTTGCTGGTGCCTGGATAAAGAAAGGAGGAGAGTGTGGTGTGTGTTGCCTCCAAAGTGTGAGGAGACGCAAGGCGTGGCGGGCTTGCCTTAGTGTGGTGGGAGACTGAGTAGTTCACAACTGGTGTTTAACTCAAGTGGAATTTCCCAGCCTTTACAGGACGAATTAAGGCCCTTGAATTTTATGTGGGGCAATAGCCCAACCTCTGTGTTGCAGGTGGATCCCATCCCATGGAGGTTGAACGCCTTCTATATGCTGCCTGTTACGCCGTGTCATTTAAAGGGTGCCCCTCACTGATGTGGGGAGGGGTTCCCAGGAAGTGTCCACAAGAGCAGTAAAATGTCTTTATGTCTTTATGTGTCCCAGCTGGTACTTAGAGAAGTGTACGGATGGTTGTCTCCTGGAGGAGGGACAGGCCCCAGGGGACGGCTGGGTCCCTGGGGCAGGGGCGTGGGCAGCTGCCCCTCTCAGAGGTCAGGGCCTGGGATCCAGATCCTGCTGTAGGGGCTGGGGCATGCCAGCAGGTGACAGCATCCACAGCACCTGAGCAAAGACCTCTAACTTGTGTCCTGGCCGTCTTGAGAGCAAGTCACGGAGGGTCCCTGATGTCCGGAGCTACCCAGAGAGGCCTATGGGTCATCTCAGGAGGCTTGCAGGCCACCCCTCCGTGGGTACCCAGAAGGGACCCAGGAGCCTCCGTATCCCCTCAGACCCCTCCATTGGGTTCCTGGCTGTAGGGGCAAACAAGATTTGGGCTTAAATCTGAGTCGGGAGAGGCAGAGTGTCTTCTTCCTTATCTCGGAGGGCTCCTGAGGCTTAGGGGATCTCTTCCTCAGAGCCTGCCGCCTTTTTGATTTTGTCTGTCTCCTGCCTTTGTGGCTTGACACATTTGGAGGCCCTGTGGTGCCAAGTCCGGGGGTCCTCTAGGGTGTCTCTAATAAAATGGGTCCTCAGTACCTTGGGTGTTTTGTTTTTTTAACCAATTATGAATTTTAGAGTTGTTGGCCAGGCTAGCCAAACTGACCCATCTCGGCCGCTGCAAAGAACAGCTCGGAGCCAGTTCAAAGTCCCGTAAGAGTCAGTCAGCAGCACCCTTCTCCCCACTTCGAACAAATGTTTCTAGAAAACCTTGTATTGCCAACCTGGTATAGTTACTGGTCTCCATTTCCGGGTCACGCTGGTCATCATTGGACATTCTGGTGCGATGGAAGGTAGCCGGGAACACCTGGGTTGGAGGTTGTCTCCTTCCTGACTCGTGCCGCCGCCTCTGGCTCTGGGGTGGCCCGGTATACGTCCGGGGAAGCGGCTCCACCAGTGCAGCGCTCACCAGTGTGTCTGGGAAGGCCCCCCAGCCCCGAGAACTTAGCAGCGACTGTTGGGCCTGTTACACCACGGTGGTCGGTAAGGCCTGTCACACCACGGCGCTCAGGAAGGCCCGGGCCGTTTCAGTAGAGCTTTCCAAGAGCCTAGCAGTTTTGCAGCCTCTGGGGACTAGGGAGGAGCTGGTAGCGTGTGCTCAGGGGCCCTGCTTTTAGTGAGGGTTCGTTCTGCTGTAGCACACCAGGGGCGGGACTCCCAGTATCCCCTGGGGTTGGGGGATGATTTGTGACAGCAGGGAACACAGCAACAGAGAAGGCGCTGACCCGGGGTGCCGTGATGCCCCTGGTGGAGTTGCCTGTGCCACCGGTTAGGGCTGGCTGCCCAGGCTCAACAGCCAGCCCCGACCACCAACATAGCGGCCCCAGCAGCCAGCCTCCCTTTTCTGGCACTAATCTAGGGGAACTCTCCTTGGCTCCCCGGGGGGCCGTATAGCCTGTGCCCCTGCTGGGAAAGAGGCAGAACCCTACTGTCCTCGTTAGCTCACTGGGGCTCGACTTTCACCTGTGATTATAACCAGTCACCTCCAGACCAGCCACCCAGTGGGGTCTCATTTGAGAGACGAATGGGAAACACATCCACCTCAGATCGGGGCCTGCTGGCAGGTCTCTGCAGGGGAGCCTGACCTTTTACAGCACGAACAATTTCGGGTGGGCATTTGTGGCAGCACCCGGCATGGTGCCAGGCAACACCGCAGACGGCCGGCCAGCAAGCAGTGGTTCCTTCCCGGAGAACCGGCTCAGTCTGGGGGAGGAAGTTAGCAAGCCATTCACAGCTCCCAGGCATCATGTAGGACAGACTGCCCCCACCCCCAATCCCATCCTTGTCACCAGTTGTGCTGAGAAGCCAGAGCAGGTATATTGAATTAAGATGATGTCATGAGGTTGGCAGGTAGCTCCCTCAGCCTCCAGGCACCCCCTCTGGGGACGGGAGACCCACAGGACTGTTGTGACCCAAGGTGCAATCTCACATGCCACAGATTTATTATTACTTACAGATCCCAGAAGCAAGAGAGCGCCATTGAGCGGGGGTGGGTGGGTGGACAGTCCTCTACCCCAGGTCGGGAGCCAGCACCTGTTACTAACGAGGTGGTTGGGGTGGAGGTCACTACTCTCATAGCCTTAACTCTACGTGGTTATTTTAAAAGGTGCCCCGGGAACTGCGAAGCAGGAATTTTGGGTGGGACTCCTGAGCTCAGGCCCTTATCTAAGAGTCCAGACTCTGGTTAGGAGCAGGGTTGTCACACTGTCCGACATGTAGGCAGCCGCTCAAAGGCAAAGTTGTTTTTCTCAAAAGTTGTTCCCATCACACGGGCTCCCTACACCCCCAGAGTCCAGGCCCAGGCAGCCAGCTGCAGTCCTTCCCCATGAGTGGCAGGGTGGGCTCTGGAGGGATCCTCCTGGGGAGAGGGGCGTCAGGGATGTACCTTGGACAAAGGGGTGTGGTGGGAGAGGGCTGAGGAACGGTAATTTAGGATGATCCCTTTCCTCCAGCTGAGGCTTAGGTGCTCAGCCTCTTGGGGCTGCAAGCAGCCCTGGGCCTTGCCTCCTCACTTCGGGTTTGCTGGGACTCAGTGGCCAATTCTGCTTTCTGCTTGCTGATGTTCTGGAGGTTTTCCTCCTGGCATCTCTTTTTGGAAGCACGTCCAGAGGCACTTAGTTTTCAGTGAGAAGGATGGATTCCTGTTCCTCGAAAACTGTTCCCGGCTGTTTTCCAGCCTCAGCACCTGGGCCAGAGGGCCTCCATGGCTTCAGGGCCCCGCGCCAGTGATTCTCGGCTGGTTCCACCCCCCCCCCACCCCCTGAAAGGCAGCAGTGTGACCGGCTGACAGGCAGTTGACCGGCAGGATGTAGTGATGATATGAGGTGTCACTGCCCTTGGCTCCCGCTGAGCCAGGTGCTGGGTGCGCAGGGTGGATTATCTCAGTCCCCCACCCAGAGCAGCACTTGTCTCCTTCGTGGATGAGATGGAGACTGCCCGGCGGACAAGTGGCAGAGCTGGGATTCACCCCAGGTGGCCTGATTCCAAGTCTTGCTCGGAACCTCTCTTCAGGCTCCTGCCTCTCTGGTCTCTGCAGTGCTACCTAGAAGGCTCCAGCCCCATGGGGCTGACGTCTCTGTCCAGCACGGCTCTGTGGGAACCACAGGCCTTGCAGTACTACGTGTGAAGCCCCTATCACGTGATGACCTGCAGTTCGTACAGAATTTGTCACTATTTTTTTTAAGATTTTATTTATTTATTTGAGAGAGAGAGATAGCGAGAGAGAGCAGAGTAGGAGGGAGGGGCAGAGAGAGAAGCAGGCTCCCCGCCGAGCAGGGAGCCGCGGGGCTCCATCCTGGGACCTGGAATCATGACCTGAGCCTAAGGCCGTTGCTCAACCACCTGAGCCACCCAGGCACCCCCAGAATTTGTCACTATTAACAGGCATTTCAGTATCTGGTGACAATGGTATCTTGAACTGGCCTTTTCCCTGAGCCCCCTCCCTGTCTCTTGGCCTCCAGGCCTTCGATGTGGTAGAAAGGAGCTTCCTGGAGTCCATTGATGACGCGTTGGCTGAGAAGGCAAGCCTCCAGTCCCAGCTGCCAGAGGTAATCTCCCCAGCCTGTTCCCCCAGGGAAGCACCCCAGGGCCCAGCTTTGCAAGTTGCAGGGACTTACCTGCCATGTCACTCCCCAGCCATTGACATGACTGGGCCAGAGCGGCAGGAATTAGGGGGATAGTTCCTGACTGAGGGACTGGGCAACAGTGCGTTTGCAGAGGCCCCCCCCCCCGCGCGCCCCCCGCCAAGGGGCCTCCCTGGCCCATTGTGGGCAGCTTCACTTGGGTTCGGCATAGGGGTGGGCAGTGAAGGATGTGAGAAAAGGCCCTTCCAGCTCAGTCCTTGACCTGAACCTGTCCATAGCCCTCACCCCCCCCCCCCCACATCGGCCACCGGCACTTCCAGAACTGACAGGATGAGTAAGGTCACCCCCCCCCCCCCCGCGAGAAGCCTGCCCTTGAGCTGCAGTGCGGCTTCATCCTGCCCAGGCCCTCGGATCCTTGCCTTTTAAGGGAGGGGCAGCTGGTGAGATGGTCTCCGAGGACCCAGCCTGCTCTGACCCCCTGATGCTGGCCTGTAGGGTGTCCCTCAGCACCAGCTGCCTCCTCAGTATCAGAAGATCCTCGAAAGACTCAAGGCACTGGAGAGGGAGATTTCGGGAGGAGCCATGGCCGTCGTGGCGGTCCTGCTCAACAACAAGCTCTACGTCGCCAATGTTGGTGAGCCACCTCTGTGTCCCAGGGCGGGGAGTGCTGGGCAAGAGATCAGCCTCAAGGTCTGTGTGTTCTTTGGACAGTCTGCTTCCCAGACACGTAAGCCCTCCAGCCCGTGTCTCCTGGGGCCATGGGGTCCGTTTCCCTATTTCTGCACAGGAATGCCCCAGTCCCAGCGCGGGGAGTTAGCGGTACCGGCTAGGAGGCGGGCCTCCCGGCTTTTGTCTCCACTCTGCCCCCAACTGGCTGTGGGCGAGTTGTGTCCCCTCTCTGGGTCACCTCAGTGGCTTCCTCTTCTGGAAGAGGTTGCCTAGCTGTGGAAGACCCACTCGGCATCCCAGGAAGGGTGGCGAGATGGGCTGGGTGAGGGGCCATAAGGATATTTGGATTTGTGGGCAAAGAAGAGGCCATCTGGGAACCCAAGAAGGTCATACCCACAGGGTGCAGATTATTGTAGGAGCGGTGTAGAGACCCCACTGATAATATCCCTCTTTTCCTTAAGATTTCATTGTGGACAGAACTCAAAAATGTGAAAAGATAGGGTGAAAAGCAGGGAGTGAACACCCGTGTGTGCCCATCCCCCAGCCCCAGCAGTCACCTCCTCGAGACCAGTCTCATTTCCTCCCCACCCCTTTGTCCCCGTGAACCCCAGACATCGTGTCATGTTATCTCTTTGTAAATAGTTCAGTACGTCTCTCTAGAGAGAAGGTCTCCTGGTAAAATCATAATTATCCTAGGATGACACTGGGAAAGTTTAACCTGATTCCTTAATATCAGCAGCATGCCCTGAGTGGTGACTCACCCCAGCGGTCTAAGCCTATTTGCTTTGCTCGTTTCAAGGATATCCCTGTGTGAGATGCCTGCCTCCTCTCTCTCTCTCTCTCTCTCCGCTCAACACGTCTGTTCCTCCCCGTATCCTCCCCGTATGCAGACTTGGCTCAGCTTCTCAAATTCTCCTGCAGGTACAAATCGTGCCCTTCTATGCAAATCCACGGTGGACGGGCTGCAGGTGACCCAGCTGAACGTGGACCACACCACGGAGAATGAGGACGAGCTCTTCCGCCTCTCTCAGCTGGGTGAGTCAGCGTGGGGCCGGCCCCCATGGCTCACCCTCCGTCCTCTTCTGGGGGCTGTGTAGGGAGAGGAGTGAAGTGCTCAGGCTGTGACCTTGGGCTTGGGACCAGCCTGCCTGGGGTTGGGTCCCAGCTCTGCCCCTTACTAGCTGGTGATGTTCAGAATTTTGGAAGTTTTTTGTGCCTCAGTTTCCCCATCTGTGTAAAGAGGATCGTAGTAACACCTGCCGCAGGGCATCGTGAGGGTTAAGAGTCCTTATATGGAAAGTGCTTCTAAGAGTACTGAGCATGCAGTAGGTACTATGATTGCGAGAGACTAAGAGGCCAGAGAAGTCCCAAGGTTGCAGCCACCACAGCATAGCCGCTCCCTCCCTGCCCAGGGCCTCTGAGGGAGGGGGCGTTCTGGTGGGGCTGGGCACTGAGGACACTGGGGCACTTCGTGTGAGCTGCTCCCTAGGGTGCCCTGATGTGACTTCATTTTCCGTTCAGGGGGTCCTCTTTGCCTTGTTTTGGGGGCTATGTCTGTATGCCGTTCTTTTCGTTCTTCATGATGAACAGGATCTGGGATTGTCCTGTTCTCCCTCTGGCAGGTTTAGATGCAGGAAAGATCAAGCAAGTGGGGATCATCTGTGGCCAGGAGAGCACCAGACGCATCGGGGATTACAAGGTCAAATATGGCTACACTGACATCGACCTACTCAGGTAGGCAGCCAGCCTAGCTGTCCCCTGTTTGTAAGGCCAGAGGGTCTGGGCAGAAGCAGATTTTAGGCTCTCGGGACAAAAAGATGCAGTTGAGGTAGTTGAGAGCCCAAGAAGACTTTTCTTCCTCCCGGAGAGGTTGGTGTGTGGCCCTAGACCCGACAGGCCGGGAGTGGGGGTTCCGTAGAGCTGGGCTGGCAAGGGGTCAGGTTGGGGAGCTGAGTCAAAGCCAAGGGCAGCAGCCAGTGCCACAGGGCCTGATAGGAGTGACCGGCGTTGGCACGAGCCACCAGGTGTGGATAGGGACGGCCCACAGGCCTGTGGGTCAGTGCTGCCTCTGGCTGGGCCTGGGGCAGAGGTGCGAGACGAAGTGGACACGGCCCTCTGAGGACAGTTCCCTTCCGGGTGCCACCCAGGGCTCACAGCAGCAAATGGGCAGCAGTGATGATGGTGGGCCGTTATTGTGCCAAGCCTGTGCCCAGCTCTTTACACACAGTCTTACTCAGTCCTCACTCAGGCCCTGTGAGGTAGGTACTGTTGTTGCCCCAAAGGTATGTTCATCTGAGGAAACAGATGTGGGGCCATCAGGGAGCCTGCCCGGTCACAGGGCTAGCAGGGGCTGAGGCAGGACTTGGACCCAGGCATCCTGAATCCAGAGCAACGTCCTTAATATTGATTGGGAAATAGACATGTCGGGGGGTGGGGTTGTATGTGTGTCGTGTGTGGTGGGTGTGGTGTGTATATATTTGTGGTGTGTGGAAGGACGTGGTATATATGTGGGGGGTGTGTGTGTGTGGTGTGGGAGGGTTGTGGTATGTGGGGGTGTGGTTTGGGTGTATGGGGTGTTGCGGGGGACCGGGAGGTGTGTGTTGCCCATTACAGCATTTGCCGTCACAACCAGAGAGAGCTTTGAGGGATCATACCAAAGTCCCCAGCGTCGGAGCCAGACTCCTCATGGCCTAGAAAGCATGATTACAACTCCTTACTCTCACAAGATTTAGGCAGTTGAGTTTGGAAACTTTTGTCTCTAATTTGTGGGGTTCTGTTTGCTTAATTGGAAAGTACATATGTGGTTCAAAACAATTCAGATAGCGCCAAGGATACACAGTGAAAAGTAAGTTTTCCTCCCACCCCGAGCCTGGACTCCTTCCCCAGAAGCTGCTGGTCTCTCCCGCATCCTGCCCCGGAGCTCCTGTGCACATGTGTGTGGGGGTGTGTTTGCAGGGGGGATGCCCCCTTCCCAAAACGCCCACAGGGGCTGGCCTACCCTTTCCAACACCCTGCACCCCCCTCGATTCCCGATGGATACTGTCCTCCCCCCTGCGCAGCGCAGGGTAGGCTGGCGGCGCTCTCTGAAACGGCTCCCAGGGGCCCGGAGCGGGCCTGCAGCGGCGCTCGCCGGCCCCTACTCATGGGCTCCCAGGATATTTCCAGACTCTGCTCTTCCAAGTGCTCTTGCCAGGAACGTCTTAGACTTGGCTCTGCGTGCGCACGTGTTGGAGCTTTGTGACGTTCTGGCTCTGCTAGCGCTTCAGTGAAGGGTCCCCGTGCACCTGGGGAGTGGACGTGGGGTCTGCGTGGATGCTCGTTCTGGAGGAGCCCGGGAGAAGTGGGCTTCTAAAAGTGATCCCCACCCTCGTGCTGTCCCTCCTGCCACCGCACGGGCGCTGTGGACAGGGGATGGGGCCCGGGGCCAGGATCAGGCACCCAACCCTCACCGTCCTGACCCCAGCGGCCCCACTGGCCCTCCGGGCCCTCAGAGCTTTACGTCAGGAGCCACCCTCAGAAGATAGGTCTGTTTTTCTGGTTTTCTCTTTCCTCTGTTTCTTTTCCTCTGGTTAACATGTGCATTTTACTTTACATCCTGGGTGGATTCTTGCCTTCGGCAGAAGAAATGTCCCCTGGGGCCCTTCCAAGCACAGCTCTCCCCACACTCTCTTCCCACAGTGCCGCCAAGTCCAAGCCGATTATCGCAGAGCCCGAAATCCATGGTGCGCAGCCCCTGGATGGGGTGACTGGCTTCCTGGTGCTGATGTCGGAGGGGCTGTACAAGGCTCTGGAGGCCGCCCATGGGCCCGGGCAGGCCAACCAGGTGAGCCCGGCCCGGGCAGGGCGCCGCCAGGCAGCCCGCAGAACGGTGTGCTCCCCTGGGGACCCAGCCAGCCCTCCTGCTCGCTCCACAGAGGGACCCAGAGCTCCGGTTCTCAAATGCCCTCACCAGACAGCTTCTGTGCATTCAAAGCTGGGGGAAGAAAATGTCCAGCGCTCCGAGAACACCCATCCCACCCAAAAGCTGTGCTTGTTCTGGTCTTGAAGCAGGGTCTGTCCCCAGGGCCCCTGGAAGTGAATTTCCAGGGGCACATTGCTCTGGAGTGTGTCTGTGAAGGGCCCTGGTCCAAGGAGGAGGGCCCAGAGGGTATGGCCTGAGCCTCAGCCTCCCTCCGCCTCCCCTCCCCTCCCCTCCCCTCCCCTCTGAGCTGCACTGGCTCACAGCTTGCGCCTCCTCCCTGACACGGGGTGATAACATCTACCTTTTGGGGACTGTGGTGAGATTGAGGTGTGATAAGCTTAGGTCCCCTGCCAGTGGGAGCCGCTTATTTTTCCTGTGCTGAGAGCACACGTGCCAGACAATTGTCCCTAACGCTGTGGCTTCGAGACAGTCACCTCAAGGATGATTTTGAAGGGAAGCTGCCTTTTCCTGACCTTGGATAGTGAATTCAGGTTGTGGGTCTCCTTCCGTTTGTGCTTCCTGTAGGAAAGTAACCTTTTCTGCTTTGTCCTCTTTTTAATTAAAAATCAGGAGGAAAATGTCTCATGCGCCTGTCTCCTGATAACCCATGTTCAAGGTTTTTCATCCATTTTGTCTTATCGTTCCTGCCAGTAGCCGTGTAACCCAAGAGGCAGGGGCTCACTGCCACGTCGAGTTAGGGAACTTGGGGCTCATGGAGTTCAGGGGCTTGCCCGAGGTTCTGAGGTGACGGCTGGTCAGTGATGGACCCAGATGGGGCTTGGGTCATCTCCTGTGACCTGCTCCAGCTCTCCTACCTCCAAGAGATTCAGGCTAGCCATCGGGGGGGATTTTGTGTTCGTGTTTGTGAACTTATTGTCAGTGTGATTTTTTTTTTTCTCTTTTCCTTATTTTTGGTCTTCGCCAAAGAATTACCCAGTGGCTTTTGCTGGGTTCTAGAATAAACTGGATAGTGGACTTCTCTGAGCCCCGTCTTCATTCTGTATTCCCTATTTCTAACAAAAATGGGTAATGTAGCCTACAGTAAGTTTGTTCCAGGAAAGTAAACTTCATAATAACAGCAATTCATACCAGGCTTTTTCGTGGTCTCCAGAGTGCCCTCCCATCCACTGTGCAATTTAATCCTCCTAATAACCCAGCGAGGCGGATATTATCCCCCATTTTATTGGTGTGGAAGCCAACAATTGGAGAGATCACAAGGTCACACCTTTTCTAATGAGAAAGTTCCAGAAGAATTATCCTGAATACCTTGAAAAGCTCGGATTACAGGCTTGGCTGGTGAAGACTTCCTTCACCTGCTTGGCTGATGCCCCCTAAGCATCTGGATTCAGCTCTGAAGTCGTGGGCTGCAGTCCTGGGCGCCCCCTCCCTGTTCCTCACCAGGTTTTGCTACCCCTTCCCCCCAGGAGATCGCTGCCATGATCGACACGGAGTTCGCCAAGCAGACTTCCCTGGATGCCGTGGCCCAGGCCGTGGTGGACCGGGTGAAGCGCATCCATGGGGACACATTTGCCAGCGGCGGCGAGCGTGCCAAGTTCTGCCCGAGGCATGAGGACATGACCCTGCTGGTGAGGAACTTTGGCTACCCGCTGGGCGAGATGAGCCAGCCCACACCGTCCCCGGCTCCAGGTATGTGCGCAGTGTAGACGGGGAGCCACCTGAGGAGGCCGGCCGGGACCGGGGTTGGGGTGGGCCTTGCTGCCTGGAGTGGATGTGGAGCCAGAGGCCTGGCTTGGAACCGTTCTAATCTGGTCTCTCAGACTTTTAAGCTTTCTGATCTGAGTTTGTTGTTGGGTTTTTTTTTTCCCTTTTGCCTGTGAAATGAGGATCCTAGCACCTGCCCGGCAGACCTCCTAAAGGCCTGAGTGCGTGAACAAGCGCTTTGCCAAGCCACAAGGCCACATAATAGGGATGGTAGCTGCCACTGCTTGGGTGTCTACCGGGTCCACAGAGTTCCCTCAGGCCTCCTGAAAACCCGAGGCTCAGGTGGCACCCCCTTTTACTGAGGAGCTGAGGCTCTGGAAGGAAGAGAGGGACGCGAGGTTAGACATGTGGACAGAGGGTCCCCCGAAGCCTGGCTCTGTCCCTGGGCCTTGTCGGGGGTGAGGCTGAGACGCTTTATTTTCTGCCTTTGTAATTCTGTGATCAGGTTGCTCAGGAAGAGACGTGCTGGTGCTTTTCTGTTTCTCTCCCAGGGCTGCTCAGTGTCAAGACCATCAATTCCTAGGGTCTGTGTTTCCTTTTCTTTTTTCAGACAAGCAGGGCTTAGCGTGCGAGCAATGGATTTGTTTCCCCACAGATACTGGGGTCGCCCGATTTTCTCTAACTTGTTTTTGCAACCAGATTTTTGCTGGGCCAACCTCAGCTTACCCCTGGGCTGAGAGCACCATGGGAAGCCTGGCAGTAACCCTTTCCTCGAGGCAGCTCAGCGCACGCGCTCCTCCTGCTTTAAGTACCACTGGTGCTTTGTTGCTGAGATGAACCCCCCCGCCCCCCGCTGCTGTCTGGAAGAGTCTGCCCTGAGACAGACACCCCTTCCCTGTCCCAAGGGGCGGTGTCGGGAGCCAGGCCTGGCCGCTGCCCACCTACTCGGCCCCTCAGCCACTCCCTGCGGCCCTCCGCTCTCTTCCTCCCCAAGCTGCAGGAGGACGTGTGTACCCCGTCTCCGTGCCATACTCCAGTGCCCAGAGCACCAGCAAGACCAGCGTGACCCTGTCCCTCGTCATGCCCTCCCAGGGCCAGCTGCTCAATGGGGCCCACAGCGCATCCACCCTGGACGAAGCCACTCCCACCCTCACCAAGTAAGCCCTCACCCCGCCCCCAGCCTCCCACAGGCCTGCCTCCCGGGACAGCCTGCCTCCCGGGACAGCCCTCAGTACCTGGACATAAGTGGCCACGGGGCCAAGTCCTGGGGTCGAGTGATGTTGGGTGAGGTGCGCTGGGGTCCTGTGCCTCTCACATCCTCCAGCTCCATCCCTGGGGGTCCTCCCCAGACCCGGAGGCAGGAGGAGGCAGCCCTGCAGGTTCCAGCAGCTCACTGAACCCAGACCTGGGAGGAGTGGGGAGGTTCGGGGGCAGAGTGGGCGAGGCGGGCTGGGAGGAGACAGGCCGCTAATGCAGACAGCCTGCTGTTTGTGCTTTTCCGTGGGTCCCACAGATTCGTTTTCCTTTAATGGGAAGGTTCTCCTGTTCTTTTCTCTTTTCCCATCTTCTCCCCATCTCGGAGCCTCCCCGGTGGCATCCATGCTTGGGGGACGTTGTTTGGCCTTTGCTGGCTGGTCACAGCCGGTGCTCTGACTAAAGCGTCCCATTTTAGCTTTAAAGTGAGTCGTCTAGTTTAAGGCGGGGGGGGGGGGGGGGGGTCCAGTTCTCACTTGTGATCTTGGGCAAATCACAGCCCCCTTGGGGGGGGGGGGGGGGGGAGGAGCTTGTCCGGGGGGGGGGGGCGGAGGGGCGGAGGCAGTAGGAGGCCCAGAGTCTAGGGGTGAGCCGACTGGGGGGGGGGGCTGCAGACCTGCCTCACAGGTCTATGTCCCTCCAGCCCCTTCCCTTCTGTGGAATGTCCACCCCCCCCACCCCCACCACACCAGGGGACCGGGATCTGGTTTCCACATTCCAGCCCTGCGCCCCCCCCTAGGGATGCCACACCCAGCCCACTCAGAGGGTGTGGCCAACTGGAAGGGCCGCCCAGGAGGGGGTGGTGCTGTTGGCCTCTGCCTCCCAGGGGGCCTTCCGGCTCCCTGCCCCCACTGCCACCAGAGCTGCTGCTGCTGGGGGCCAGAGGGGCCTGCCAGGCAGCCGAGTGGTGGGCATCCCAAGTGCAGGGTTGCCCGGAGGAAACCATCAGCAGTGTCCACAGAGGCAGAGCGGGACAGCACGGGTCCCAGGCCAGGCAGGAGAACCAGCCATCCTGCCGCACCTCTGCTCCTGGGGACCCTAAACGGCCCCTTCCCTTCGGCCTGTGTCTGGGTGTTAGGTGGGCCCCACTGTGGGTGGGCCAGGGCTGGGTTCTGGGCAGTGCTAGGAGTGTGTGGGACGGCAGGCTGGCAGGTAATGCCCGGTTGTGAGGTGCTTTGTGTCAGAGCCCGGTGCCCAGGGAGCTCTGACAACTGGGGGCCTGTCCCACCCAGCCAGTTTTTGGGGAGAAGAGCCCTTGCCTGCCTGTGGTCAGTGGGATTTGGAGAGGCTGGAGTGGATCGCCTCTAGCTCAGCACTGTTCGGAGGGAGATAGATGTTCTGTGTCCGATACTGTAGCCACTCGGATGCGTGGTGATCAAGCCCTTGAACCGAGTGATCTGTTCTATTAAATTCTAGTTAACTTAAGGAGCCATGTAGAGCTAGAGCTTGGAAAATACGTTTGAGTTTTCATCAGCCCTTAAGAACATCTGACCGGGCTGGCTCTCGTGGCCTGAGGGGCCTCTCTGTTCCTGACTGACTGTCCCCTGCGGTCCCCACAGCCAGAGCCCGACCCTGACGCTGCAGTCCACCACCACGCACACACACAGCAGCAGTTCCAGCTCGGACGGAGGCCTCTTCCGCTCCCGGCCCGCGCACTCCCTCCCGCCTGGCGAGGGCGGCCGTGTGGAGCCTTACGTGGACTTTGCTGAGTTTTACCGCCTCTGGAGCGTGGACCACGGCGAGCAGAGCGTGATGACGGCACCATAGCCCCGGCTGGGGGATGTGGCCCGAGCAGGACCAGGCCTGGGGACAAGGGGGCCCAGAGCTCTGGGGCCGGATGGGCCTTTTCCTGTGGTCTGCCTTTGCTGTGCGGGCCCAGGGAGCGCCCGGTCCTCAGCCTGCACCACGCTCGCACCCCGCCGTCCTCGGTGCTGCAGAGAACGTTCTCTTGGAGAGCAGCCCTGCACACCGGCCCTGGCCTCGGCACCGGCAGTGGGGGGCTGGAGGCCCCCCTCCCTCAGGCAGACTCAGCCAGGACCGTTGCTGTTTCTCGGACAGACGGCTCAGGGTGGAAGCCGCGCTGGCCGGGGGTAGGGGTGGGGGCTGCCGTGTGCGGCAGAGCGCGAGGTGTTCTGCGGCCCAGCATGCCATGGGTCCGGCAGCCGCCGCTTTCTCTGCCCCTGCAGCCCTGGCTGGGGGTTCCCCCCTTCCTTCCTCAGCCTCCAGAGTGGAGCCCCGTGTGGCACCTGCACCTTTGAAGCCTGCGCCCATCCCGGGGCCTTCCCAAGTTGTTGCCAGTAGTCAGTGTTCAGGAAGGCCAAGGGAAGCGTGGGGAGCCTGGGTGGCTACACAGGGGCAGGTCAAGTGAAAAGGACCGAGAGGGGACGGGTCCAAGGGGAGCACTGGTCCTGGAGCCCACTGGAGGGGGTAGGCTGGGTGTGGTTGGGCCCCCCCAGACATGGGGGTGCAGGAGAGGTGAGGACGTGGCCGCTCTTGTCAGGCCTCCTCCAGGAGCGGGGAGGCCCCGGATCGGGGGGAGCCGGTGCTGCGTTGTTTTCCCTTCACCGCCACAGGTTGGGGAGCCACTACGATTAGTCGTCTTTACCACTGACGATGAGTCGGCCTGGCTTTAAGGAGAAAACGGGTCAAGAGTCAGGCCGGGGGCGGGGGGCGCATTTGAAAGAACAGTGGGAAGGAGGTTCTTGGGTACCAGGTGCCCTGGGTGACTGGCGGCTTCAGAGACACGCCCCATTCTTACATTCGGGGACAGGACCCGGCCAGGCCGGGCCAGGCCCCGAGAACACGCCTTCTCCGCCTTTGTATATGTGCTGCCGAAGCGAGCACGAGAGCACGCCTTCTCCGCCTTTGGAGGGCAGAGACTGGCAGCGCCGTTCCTGCGGGCCCAGGACGAGGCAGGCCCAGGGGACGCACACGTGCCGGCTCCCACCGTCAGTGGTGCAGCAGAAGTCAGGAGGCCGCCCTGGATCCCTCCCCAGCTCCCCAGCTCCCAGGCTCCTGCCCCGTGACACCCCAGGGACTGGCTGCCATGTGCGGCCTCCGGGGCGCCCGGACTCTGGACAGTCGGAGGCCAGCTCCGAGGCCCCGGCCGCTGTGCGGTGCAGGACCGCGTCTCCCGCCCCGCACCACGAGGCCGGCTCCGTTCCGCACGGGAGCAGATTTAAAGTCTGTCGCGAGGGCTTGCGGACAAAGAGAATCCTCTGCCAAGAATGTCTCTGTGATGCTGTTTGGTCTCTAGAAATACAACCACTTTTTTACCGCAATAAAGAAAGAGTAATAGGTGGTCTTACACATCGGGTGGTAAGAGTGCTGTTACTCGGGTCTCGTGTCCGTCGCAGCGGCCTGGGGGGCTGGACGCCTCCTCCGGTCTCGCTCCGCAGCCGGCGGCACCAGCCTTCTCACGGGACGTGCGTGGCCGGCCTCACAGCCTGCGGGACAGCGCTGGGTGTCCGGCACCCCCCCTCCTCCCAGTCCCCGCACATCTGGAGAGGGGACCGTTCTGCCGCAGCCCGTCTTCCGGGCCCTGTGAGCAGCGGCGGGGCCGTGGGCAGCTCTCGCTTTTCCCGACAGGGTGCCCGGTTCTCGGTGTGTGAGCCGTGCTGTGGCCGACAGCTCCGGGTCGCCAGGAGGGCGCCCTCCCCCGTCACCAGATAGTCGGCATTTAGGCAGTTCCTTTGCTTTATTTCGGTTTTGTTTGGGTGGAGGACTTTCTATAAATACTAGTGCACAAATACTAGCCTCTTCGTGCTTTACAGAACTAACAAGGGCGTCTGCTTAGGAGCCAAAGCAAAGCTCAGTGTTTGGGTGGTGGCGTCTGAGGCTCCCAGATGCCCCTGCCCCTCTGCTGGGAAGGGGCTCGAGGCACAGGGCTCCACCTTGAGAACGGTGGAGCCCTCCTCAGCTGTCCCTCAGGAGGCCCTTGGGAGCACTGCTGGCCCGAGACCAGGAGTCTTGGTGTCCGCCCAGCACCCTGAGAGGGAGGCGGTGGGTGCACCGTCTCTCAGGTGAGTGACTGAGGCGCAGACGAGTGGGCATGCTCCCTGTCACAAATGGCCCCGTCCAACCCCTAGCCCATGGGCCTCCCCTAGCACCTGCTTTGCCCCAGGCATGGGGGGCAGGGCCCTGCCCCGCTGGCTTTGTGCCCCCTGTGCCCCATCCTCGCTGTCACGCGGCTCCACTTGGGCCGGCCTCCTGGTGCCGAGAGGGGCACCGGTTTAGCTTCCTGGTTCCCTTTGGTCGATTAAGCTGTGAGGCAGAGAGGGCTAGTTGAGGAGTCTGTCTTAGGATCTCAGAAATGGCAAGAGTCAGGCCAAGAAGAGAACAGGGCAGCCAAGCATGGCTGCAAAACCGCAAGCCCGCCCTTACGTATGAGGCGGGCCGACTGCCAATGCTCACGCTGGGCCGAGCCGCCCCCCACCGCCTCATGGGGAGAGCATTCAGGTTTCCTGGGGCTGGATCAGGTAGAACCAGAGAAGCCCGCCCACCACGTGCTGCTTGTGTCCACTTGTCCCTCGAAGACATCCGGTCCCCTCACAGGACGGGATTCAGTCACTGCCTTGATCGACAACCTGGCCTGGGTCAGACCGGATGAGGCAGGCCTTCGTGAGCTGCTGTTACCCCGGGGCCCCAGGCGGCGGGGCAGGCAGCAGGGACATCCGGCAGCGCCAGGAGCCCCGTGGACGCTCTTGGGCCATCTTCACGAGGATTTGTTCTCTTGTGTCCAGCCTTCATTTGGCCCTCTTAGTTCTCACAAACTGACCCTGCAGCTGAGCACTGGCAGTGAGACCTGGCAGGGGCCCCTCAGGCCACTGGAACGTTCTAGGGAAAGGCACCTGATCGGGCTCTTTACACGGCTGCCTCCTTCCTGTCGTTCAGGCCTCCGCACAAATGCTACATCCTGACGGAGGCCTGCCCTGGTCCCACCCCAGCCACATCCCGCCCCATCTCCCTGTGGAATCTGCTTCACAGAAACTGCCTGACATTTCTTGCTTGTTTATCTGTGTTGTCTCTCTCACCCACTAAGATGACCCCTCTGTGACGGGGGCGGGACTTTGTCTTCCTTACTCCATCCGGTCCCAGCTGCAAGGTCAGTGCCAGCCACATAGTAGCCCTCACATACATGTTAAATGAAAGTGATGAGCTGTGTGACCTTGGACAAGTTACTTGACCATGCTGAGCCTCTGTTTCTTCATCTCTAAAATGAGGAAACAACCAACTTGTTGATAAGATTGCCCGACAGGCCTGAGTCACCCTACAGATGGGAAATGGACAAGATTTCCTCCCCTCTCCCCGCCATGCCTCCCACAGACTCTAAAGACCTGTATAATGAAGGTTCCTCCCCGGGGCCTCCCATGGAGCAGGTGTACTGGCAGCTTCCCCTAGGAACTCAGACACTGGGGAGTGGGTGTGTGCTTCTTGCCTCGTCTCAGCCAAAGCCCAGAGGGAGGCGATCCGCTGGGCTCCTCGACGTTTCTTCCAACAAGGGCATCTTTCATGATTTTTCCTTCTGGGCCCCCTATTTTGAAACCAAACAAGGCCGCAGATCACTGCCAATCCAGACAGGCTCGGCATGAGCATGCGCTTTGTTCCCACGCAGAGCTGATGTCAGCCCCGAGCAAAGACGGGCACTTGACATTTCCACGAGCCTGGGCAGCCTCCCCCAGGACAGACACAGTGTCTGGCAGCTGGCTTTGAGGAATATGGACACCAGTTCACAGACTCCATTCCTGCATTCGAGACCCCCAGAGAGGTCAGAGGACCCCAGACTGTGCGGATCAGTTTGGTCCAGCACCTTCTTGCCTTCATTCTCTCAGGTCACGTGGTGGGCTAGGGCAGGGGCAGGGACAGGGACAGGCCACTCCCTCAAGGCCAGAGCCCCAGACTGTCTCCACACCTTCCATGATCAAGCTCCTATGCTTGTTACCTCAGCAAAGCCATCCTGTGGTCCAGACAGGGCTGAGCTCAAGAACCTTCCTTAGCTCCAGCCTCCTGCTCCCAGCACCTGCTGTGTTGGTCACTCGTGAGCTTGCTCCTTCCTCTCCCCCAGCCCTGAGACCTCCCCTGAGCCCCCTCCACCTAGACTATCCTCCAGGCACCTCAGTAGCTGGGGGCTAGTCTAAGAAGCATCTAAGAGGTGTCAGAGGAACTTGGACGGATAGATGAATTGCCTAGAGAAGAGCTGGAACTTGTCTGCAGGAAATACCATTACCTTGTAGAAAAACCACTCCTACCCTGGCACCCCCAGAGTTTGGGGATTTCTAAGAAATTAGATGTCGCCATTTATTTTGAATATCGAGGTGAATTCTGCAGTCAAATTCATAATATCAAATGGTTTTCTTTAGTACAAAAGCGACTTTTTTTTTTCAGAAATAGCATTTAAAATGACTTATTAACAAGTCACTTTAAGAAGTGCACCACGTCCCCTGAGCGGATCTGTAGAGCTCGACACACCCCGCGGAACCCAGCGGCGGCCAGGCTGAGGGGCTCAGGTGGCCCTCTTAAGACTCGCCCATTGCTGAGGGTCAGGTGGGGACTTGCGAGTCCTTCATTCCCCAGGGTGGCCCTTGTGGGCTGCCCTCCACACCCAGAGCCACCAGGCAGGATTTGTGTCTGAAGGTCTTCTGGGTCCTATCATTAGCCACCCCTGTACAGATGTGGAGATAAAATACAGACGGGTTAGGAAGTCTGGGCAGAGATCTGGGGAGACAGATGTCTGCTCAAGCTCAGAAAGAACTTTGCAACGGCGTCCGAGGTGGATGTCGTCTTGCTGGCTGCCTGTGGGAGGTGAGGAGCTTC